CAGGTCGAGGCTGCGGTGGCTGGGAGTGGCCACTGCACTCCAGTCTGGGCGACAGAGTGAGACTCCAACACAAAAAAAAAAAATAAGGCACATAGGAAGTACTGATAATATTAGAAATCATTAGGCTCGCATTCCTTATTATTTTATAAGTACACTCCCAATAGAGTAAAGCAGTGTAGCTGTAGTGTTGGTTCTGCGTAATAAGCGATTTCCCATTATGACATTTTCTCATAGCGCAGTGTTACTCTGAGTTACAGCAAATTGTCAAAAAGCTCTCATTCTCTAGAGTGACCTACCTCTTCTTAATGAGATAATGGAGTCTCCTGGAGATATGTGATTGCTACCAGTACAATGGAGTAAGAACATGGAGCCCAACTGCCTGAGTTCAAATCCCAACTCTCTGACTAACAAGTTATATGAACTTGGGTGAAGTTACAGAACCATTATGTGCCTCAGTTTTCTTGTACGTGAAATGGAAATCCAAATAGTTCCTACATTTTTCAATGTGAAGATTAAATAAACATGGATTGTGTTTAGAACAATGTCTGAGACACAATGGATATTATATAAGTGTTAGGTATTATTATTATAACCAACACCATTATTATTGGAACAATAAGGAAGAGAGTGAGAAAAGCTGAATCCTTCCAGGTGCTATTTTTTTTTTTTTTTTTTGAGTTGGAGTCTCACTCTGTCACCCAGACTGGAGTGCAGTGACTGCTCCCGGCCACCGCAGCCTCGACCTGCTGGGCTCCGGAGATCCTTCTGCTTCAGCCTTCCGAGTAGCTGGAACTACAGGCGCGCGCTACCACGCCCGGCTAATTTTTTGATTTATTGTAGAGATGAGGTCTCACCAAGTTGCCCAGGCAGGTCTGGAACCCGCGAGCTCAGGCAATTCACTCACCTCAGCCTCCCAAAGGCGCGGGATTACAGGCTGAGCCACCGAGCCCAGCTCCAGGTGCTATTACAGTCAGTTGGGAAAGAAGAGTTTTGGATCACCAGTCAGGAGAATTTAGTTTTAAGCACAATTAACCCTTTATTATCAGAGAGTTTTGGGGGCTCACATGATTGAAATATGCTGGAAGCATTTAATGACACTTCAGATATGAATGAACAGTTTGCAACTATCTAAGGTAGAATTCTGTCCACTATTGATAAAAGAGAAAATGATCAGTCTGTTCTAGGTAAAATATACATTAACCAAAATAACTTACCCAAGCTTAGAGAACAGGGTAAGTAAGCCTTCCTACCACTGTTAAATTTTAAAATGTTTTAATTTAAAACTATAATAAGACTTTTCCCTTTAAAGTATTTGTTATATAAAAAAATTCTTAGATTTGAAAATTAGACTTCACACACATATATACATGCATATGCATATATACATATGATCTTCTGTCTTTTAATAAAATTTCAAGTTATATTTAAGAACTAAAGACTCTCAAATCTTTCTAGAACCAGTAATAATGATACTGTAGCTGCATACTATACAAACATTATATCAGGCTACATTTATTTTTCTACTTTGCAATTTGGATTTCATATTCCATTTTCACTATTTGACCCTAAAGTTTATGCACAGTAATTTGTCATTTAAGGATAACACCACCTGAGGCATAGAACTCTTGTGAGGATTTCGGCTGACAGTCTGATTTAATAACAGTAGTGTATTTGTCAGAAACAACCACCCCTTACAATAGATATTACTGACTCCTGTTGTAGATAAGAGAAACTCAATCTTTGGGAAGAGAAGTGCTGTTCTACTAAGTGGAAGAGCTGGGATCTGACCTAGGTCTGTCTGAATGCAAAACACTTTCTCTTTTCACTACAACACAGCTGTTGTTTCTACACCGGACAACTTATTTTAAAGTCCTCCTAAACACTAAGTTAACACACAAAAAGAAAAAGTCACAATATAGCCATAAAAATAAAGCCAGACTTTAAAAAATAGCAAGAGTGATAAAGGACACACAGTGCAGGAAAAAAGATAAAAGTTTACATGCAAAGGCAGAAAGTGAAAGAAAATACGAACGGCAATTTAGAGACCAGCTTTACGTCCATAGTTTGGATTCTTGAAATTATTAATAGGACTCTTGTAAATCGGATTTTCTTGCTAAAGTAAAAGAAATAATTTCTAATGATTTCATCGGAAAGAAAAATTGGAATGTATAGTGCTATACACTATAAAATTTTTTACTATTCTAAACTTGAAATTTTTAATTTTTTTGAGAACTCAAGCAAATTGTAGTAAAATGCAATCGACTAAAATTCACCTACAATTTAAATATCCTGAAGGCTGCCACTGCCTTCTTGTATCAAAAGATAAACACACTACAGCCAACATTTGGCCACCCTACCCTGTAACTCCCTATTCCAAAGCACTAAATGCTAGCATAAACTTTCAATCACTTTTGGCTTTCAAATTTTTTTATAAAGCAAAATTCATTGAGATGCAATTTTCTTATAGTAAAACATACCTTAAGTACAGAGTTCTGAGTTTTCAAATGCATAAACACCTCCCATAATCAAGATCATTCCAAGAAGATCCCTTAGGCCCCTTTGTGGGTAACTTTTTTCCCCATTCCAGCTCCTAGCAACCACTGATCTGATTTCTGCCCCAGCTTTGCCTTTTCCAGAATGTCAAGTAAATGGAGTCATATAGTGTGTAGCCATTTAAGTCTGGCTGTTTTCCCTTAAGAGTCTTTGATTTAAAAAATGAGAGAGAGAGCGAGCAAGAAGTTTTCCGCTGAATAGTTTGTTACATAGTTAGGACTCTATTTCACATTAGAAGAAAAGGCAGAAGAGCAGATTTAGGATCAAAACTATTAAAGAAATAAAAATGCTACAGAAACAAGAACATACATTCTTATAATGTTTTGTTCAATGGGATATATTTAAGATGTGTTCTATTTTTTACTAAATGCAAATTATTTGAAAAAAATCTCCAGGGGAATAAAATATTTAAGAGGACTTTAACAGTCTTACAGTTAATAAATAAGTCTTACGTTTTATAACTTACCGTGTCCCATTTGGCATTCATTTTCTCCTTTTCAAATTTAGCAAATTCCCTTCGGTCATGAATTATCATCAGAAGCTTCCATATCAGTAGTAATGCAAGGCCAATAAGAACAATCCCAGCAACCACACCAGCAACAATTGGAATGATGTCTGGACCAGTGGGACATTCTGGAAAATAAGAAGGTAATAATGAGCACACCAGGTACTAATACGAGCAATGACCAGACCTAACCTTAGAGTTGGACAGTATCTTCTGAAAAACATATAGGAATAAAACCCCACGATAAGTGAATGTACACTATCACAAAGACCTGTTAAAAAGCTACATGAGTTTACAAGGTTGCAAAATACATGACCAATAAAACAAAAATCATGTATATATTTTTCTACATATATAATTCTACCACAGAAAATAGAACAGTACTATGAACAACAGCATCACAAATCATGAAAAACTTATATATATATATATAAATCTAACAAAATATGTGAAAGATTTTGATGTTAACTATACACTGACTAAAAAGAAATCTTTAAGCTCTGAATAAATGGAGGAATATTCCATGTACATGAAATTAGAAGACTTAAGACTGCTAAGATGTCAATTCTTCCCCAATTTAATCTATAAACTCAAAGTTATACCAGTGAAAATCGTGGCAGAACTTTCGTAGAAATCAGCAAGCTAATAATAAAATTTACATGGAAGGAGGAAACTAGGTAAGTGTTTCAAAAATACTTTTGGAAAAGAACAAAGTTGGGAGACTCACATTACCTACTTCTAAGACTACTATAAAGCTATAAGACATACAGATTGATGGAATAGAACATGTCAGATCACCTGATTTTCAACAATGGTAGAGAAAAGACAGCTTTTTCAGCAAACAGTGCTGAAAATATTGGACATTCACATGCAAAAATTTGAACTTCTTGCCATATTTAAGATGAACACAAAATGGGTTATAGACCTAAATGAAAAGCCAGAAACTAAAACTTCCAGAATAAAACAGAGAAAAATTCTTACTATCTTGGGTTAGGTAAAGAGTTCTTAGATACAACAGTGAAGGTAAGATCCAAAAAGAAAACTTGGTCAACTGTACTTCATCAAAATTAAAATGTCTAGTGTTCAAAGGCACTTTCAAACACGCAAAGGAGGCAGAGATTGAGAGACAATGTTTGCAAAACACCCATCTGATAATGCAAAACAGCACAGAGACTTCAAGAAACAGTTGGGCAGTTTCTTATAAAGTTAACATATGCTTACCATATGCTCCAACATTTCATTCTTAATATTTACCCAAGAGAAATGAAAACCTCTGTTCACACAAAAACCTGTACACTAAAGTAGAAACCAAAGAATCTACAAAACTACTAGAAAAACTAAGATAAAATGTTTCACCTTCTGAGAAGCTGAACGAATTCAACACTTTATAATATCCTTTAACAAATTATCTTTCTGGTATCCAAGCCTAAATCAAGCTCAAATTTAAATATCGTCAATAATGACAGAACTCTTTCCAAGCACCTCCAAGTATCAGGCATTGTTCTAAGTGCCTTAAATAGTGCCTCAACTATTACATTTAATCTTCAAACTTTCCACTCAGAAATCTTAAAACTAAATCTCTCTTTTCCTTACTTCCTACATAACTAACTATTATTTTAAGTTTTTAGAGAGAAAACATTTCCCAATATGAATCTAAAATAATCCAGCTGGAGACTGAATCTGGATATTAGAGAACCTGACAATCGGCCTAAACAGCTGGAACAAAACACACAAGAAATACAATGAATTTTTTAAATAACTAGATTTCTACCTGGCGTCTCCACCACATGAACAATGGCTTCATTGTTCCCATTCACAGAATAGGTGAAATAGAACCAGCAGTCATCAACATCCTTCTCCTTACAATGGGACAGAGGATCAACTTGGCCTGGCTGGGGCAGTTTGTCCCGATTTTCCACCTTAGTAAGGTTGAAATATGAACATTCCTGTGCACAAGTGTCTTTCTTTTCTCCTTTATTAAAGGCTCTGCACTGAACACATTCTCTGTAAAAACACAAATCATTACATTTAAATTTTATGATTTAAGGTAAACATTTGCTTAAAGATTATTTTGAGTGCAAAAGGCACGTGACCAAACAGTTATGAAGGAAGATCTGAATAAATAGAGAGGCATACTACACTTCTGGTTAGAAAACCTATGCTAAAAAGATAAGTTTCTCAAATGAAATTATATTTATTACAGTGTAAATTAAAATTCCATTTAAAAAGGTAGGAAAACAAACTATCGTACATCAAATATATAACATAAAACTATAATAACTCAAACAATGTGGTGCTGGTACAATAATAATTCTTCAAGGGGTAAAACCTTCAGCTTTGCTTAGTTTATTCAAAAGATAGTCACTAAGGAATTGGCCAATTTAACAACAGTTACCACATAAATTATATAGCAAATTCAGATAAAAAATAGTACAACTGTACAATTCTTATACAACACACTTAAATATCATGTAATACACACTAGCTGTTGAGAAAGAATTTAAGATTAAAGAGAAGGGTTCCATGTGGTAGGCAATGATTTACAGTATGAACTAATACTGGCACAGTTCCGCTTCTAGTGATAATACATACTTAAGTCAGCAGATGGTAAATATCAACTATTTCAAGCAATTAGGAAACACTTACTTATGCTCAGCACAGACACCAAGGCAGGTCTGACACATCTCACAAGTCTGCCCTTGAAACTTTGGATCCGTGCACTTACAGACGCCACACTCACAGATGCCCCGGCCATTGCAGATCTGTCCATTTGTGGCCTCACAAGAAGTCGTATCCAAAGAACAGTCGCAAGCACTGCCAGTGTAGTTGGGGTTGCATTCACACACACGACACTTGCAAACACCATTTCCTGCAATTAAAGGCATCATTTCTCAAAATAATGTAAAAAATATAAAATAACAGTAGTGATTTAAAAGAAAAAATAAGTAACAACATGGGAGAAAGTGTACCCAGGGGATGAAATGACGCTCAATGCTGCCTTTTAAAATTTACCCAACAAGTAAACACTTAAGATTTTCTTTTTTTCTTTTTTTGTGACAGCTCATGCTGTTGCCCAAGTGGAATACAGTGGCAAAATCCTGGCCCGCTGCAGCCATGGATCCTGACTCACCACAGCCTTGACCTCCTGGGTTCAAGCTATCCTTCTGCCTTAGCATCCCAAGTAACAAGCACTTATAGGTGTGTGCCACTATGCCTGGCTAATTTTTGTATTTCTTGTAGAGATAAGGTCTCACTATGTTGCCTAGGCTGGTCTCGAACTCATGGATTCAAGCAATTCTCCCAACTCAGCCTCTCAGATTGCTGGGATTACAGGCACGAGCCACCGTGCCTGGCCACTTAAGATTTTCTACTGTACTCAGGCTTGGTGGCTCAGCCTGTAATCCCAGCACTTTGGGAGGCTGAAGCGAGTGGATTGCCTGGACCCACGGGTTCAAGATCAGCCTGGGCAACTTGACAAGACCTCATCTCTACAATAAATCAAAAAAGTTAGCCAGGTGTGATAGCACATGCCTGTAGTTCTGGCTACTTGGAAGGCTGAGGCGGAATGATCGCCAGAGCCCAGCAGGTCAACACAGGTGGCTGTTGAGCGTGCCACTGCACTCCAGCCTGAGCGATAGAGATTCCAACTCAAAAAAGAAAGATTTTCTATTGTATTAAATAAGATCACATTTTACAACCATTGCAGACCCTTTTCTTACCTCCACATATTAAGCCATTAGATCTATCACAGTTGAAATTGTCACACTCGCAGAATTTGCCAGAATAAATCTCATTTGTATTATCCCTCTTCCTACAAACACACTGTCCACAGACGCACTCTCCGTTGTTACTACAGATTTCTGAGCTGTTTTCTTTCCTGCAGTAAGCGTCCATATCTTCACTGTTAACTTCATCTGTGCTACATTCACAATGTCTACCAACACGTCCCTCGTTGCACCTAAAGAACGATTCCAAAATTGCACAAATATAAAATAAAAACAATTTAAAATAACGAGTCCACTGTCAAAAAGACTGGGAAAGAAAACAAAACTGAACACTCTGTTCAAACTACAAATAGTTTAGGTGGGAGTATTCATTTCTTCAGGAAAGCAACCATTTTGATCAAGATGAAAATACATTCTAGCAAAGAACAGGTGAACAAAACAGAAAGGCAGAATAAACTTATTTTTAGAGAGTATGTAGGCATGCTATTACAGATGAACTAGCTCTAAATTTAAAGCAATAGTCCAACTGTTAACATAAAAAGTATAGTAACCACACCCCCCAAAAACGTTAAGGAAGTTGAAAAAAAATATTGTGCATATGATCTGAATATACAACTGATGTACAGGTTGGAACGCAGTGGCATGATCATGGCTCACTGCAGCCTTGACCTCCTGGGCTCAAGCAATCCTTCCACATTAGCCTCCTGAGTAGCTGGACTTACAGGTGCAAGCCACCAAGCTGGCTAGTTTTTTTGCTTGTTTGCTTTTGTTTTTTTGTAGAGACAGGTCCGCTATGTTATCTAGGCTGCAGCCTTGACCTCCTGGGCTCAAGCAATCTTTCAGCCTTAGCCTCTCAAAGTGCTGGGATTACAGACCTGAGCCTCTGCATTCGGCCAATATACTCTTTAAAAGTAAATGTATCCTACAGATTCAAACTTTTCAAATTCTCTGTATATTTTTAGGACAGTGTCCTAACGCTTATGGACACTGAATACATTGATTCCATATGTGGTAAAAATATAGAGACGGCAAAGCAGTTAAGATAATCTTTTTCATTAAATGACATTTTATTAAAAATAGATCGCCATGATTCAAAGTCTGTGTTTGAATGGAAATAAAAACTACAGCATTTAAACTGTTATTGAGAACCAACAATTAACGGGTGGCAAACTATACTCATGTATTTTTCTCATGGTTAATAACACTTCTAAGTCCAGTCACTTGGGGCTAACATTTAGATCAAAATACTCTCCCCCTCTGTCCTCCTATTTTAAGGATAAAGCTGTATGCAGAGTAAACTCAGTTTTGATTTCTAATTAAAAGTAACCATAGTGTGAAAATAAGATTTAAAATAATTTGATTAAAATGTTAGTTTTTGATTTTACATTCTGAAAATACCATTTTCTTTTTAATTTAATAACAATTTATTTTAAAAAAATATTTCAACAATGCAGAAACACATGTTCTACAAAGTGAACATCTCTTACTGCTTCATAATTCCATTTCCTAGATGAAATAATCATTATCAGTTTGACATGTTTTTTCCAAAACACTTTCCTATAAACATACTTTACATAAGCTTATTTTGCTCCAGAAAATTCAGATTGCTATCACATAAGAGAAATGCTGCCTTAATAAAAAGTTTGTTAAATATATTTGCATGGCTATAAATGCTTTTATTTTAGGGTAGTCAGTCATCTTAAGAAAAAAAGGCAGGAAAGCACTTTCTATAAATATCACACACACAAGATCATCAAGTTGATCTTGTGGTGAGCAACAGTAGTTGGAACAAATCCTTAATTTGTTCCAAATGAAGAGATTTTCTCCGGATTTCCCAAATATAGGCTGACTATAACCTTCTAAGTCAGCAGAGTCAATTCTGTCAGTGTCAGACAACTCCCAGCTCACCTGCATGCTCCACACTCAAACGTCCCATTTCCTTCATGACACTTTGGACTTTCAGGGATGCCTTCGCTTTGGCATTCACATTCACAGATGAACTGAAGAACAATCTCCACTTCTTCAGTGAAACCCAGAGGCTTAATTTTAATGGTTTCAGAATTCTTATTTGGACATTTATTTGCAGTTATGCTAATTTCAAATTGAACCTTAAGGAAAAAATCAAGACTAAGTTTAACAACAAATGCAATTTAAATCTACTAAAAAAATATTTCAAAAAATGATTTTTTAATATTTTTCAAAGTATAAACTAAATTTACCTATAAATAAGCAATATTTTCTTTTCTACAGAAAATGCTTTATATAACATACCTCATCGCCAATGGAAATATTGGAACATTTTCTTCCGTTTTCCCCCGTTCCATTCACTCCATTCTTGCAGTAAGATTTGTAATTTATTGTTACTCCTTCTGGCAGTTTGCTGTTTTCCAAAATGACTTCTGAGGAAAGAGACTAAAAGAAAGCCTAATTATATATAGGAAAGTCAAAAAAAAAAAAAAAAATGCTACTGGAATGAATAAAACCAATGGGTAAAATAAACTGTTTAGAAAAAATATCATTTCAATAATATACTTTGAAGCCAAATCCAACCAAGTAACTAGACAACACAGAACTCAGGGAAACAGACTCTAATTAACAAGGATCCAATCCTCAAAATACTCAATTGAAAAGAAAATTTGTTTTAATCACTGAGTTAAAATATCATACAGTACAGTGACCTGTTATTAATTATGAGGAGTCCTAAGAAAGCAGAATAAATGTCTTCTTTCCCCATTGGCAAAACGGCTCTCCTGCGGCCCTACCCCTTCCCGGTAACTATGGTTTAGGGTAAACAACTGACATGCATTTGGAACAAATTTGCTTAGGAGCCATTGTAGACCAGACAAAAAACAATCGTTCCCAAGGAGGAACGATTGAAGCCAGTGCTTAAAGTATCAGACCTCTTAGGACAAATAGAGAAGACTACAGTGGCATGCTATCTCCTGTGTGACAGGAGTTAGGAAAATGGTTTGTTAAGTCAAAGAACTATGGGGAAGACACAGAACAACTAGAATCCTGACCTGAAAACTTTTGTAAAAATTCGTCCCCTAAGTCAAGTTTTTCCAAAACATGCTAGGAACCCCTGGAGTGAGGCAAAAAATATCTAAACTTCATCCTGACACAGGGTTGGAGGGTGGGATTGAAAGTGGTGTATGCAGCACACAAGGATTACCACAATATTACAAAAGCCTTCAGATTATTTAAAAGATCAACCAGTACTAAATGGATATCACTATTATGCACTAAAAGGAGAAGCCAATTCCCCTTTAACTCCAATTCAACTTCCTTCCATTTGTGGGAGAAAAAACAATCCTGCAAATCTTTTTTTAACTAGGGAAGTTAAATATACATTTACATTTTTATATATTTTATGGCATATAAGTGTGTATGTACCTCTTGAAAACAGAAAATTAAATCCTCTGAATACATAGAAAAAGAATAACTGACAAAAAATTTTCCCAGCACAATTAATCAAAACAAATGGACCTATAAAGGATATGTTGGGGAGAAAAAAGAAGACTGAAGAAATTCCATAAATCTAAATATAAGTTGCTTCATGACTGATTTCTAACAAGATTGCTTAATGACATAAAAACAGACATTTAGAAATTTTCCCTACATATCTTTATCATATTTTTGCTTTGTTTAGGGTTTGCAAGTAATTTTGATTTTGTAATAATATGCATAAAACTTTTCCTCCAGATATAGAATTTAAATTTATTTATTGTTTTTTGGGCTTGCTAAATTATGTATGAAGGAAGTTTTACTTTCTTTGAGCCAAGTATTCTCACCAGGGAAAACTGAACTTATTACAAATGTACTCACATTGTATGCGTCAATGATCAACTGAATTACATTGCTAGAATTTGCAGATAATGTTCCTACTGCTGACTTGGGAATCAAATTCTTCAGTTCCTACAATTAAAAGATAAAACATGTAAAACAAAAATACTACTCATTCAACCAATAAGCATCCACTGAGCAACTTTTATCTTTAAATACAAGTTCCCTAATATTTCCAAAGTAACTTTTAGAAGTCAAACATGAAAAAAATTAGTTTTATAATATGTGATTAAAAATTAATATAAACTACTTCTGTAAAATTCCATTTGCCTATATGGTAGCGTCTTCCTACATTTCAATTCAGACTTAGATTTGCCTCTAAGACTAAAGAAAAATGCCTAGAACTTTGTTCTTCTTGTCTCACACATATTTACCTTGTAAACGGGCTGAAATTCTTCAGTAACTGCAAAAATCGTCTGGATGTTATTTTCACTGAGTTTCTGGACAAGGTGAGCTATAGAAGGATAATCCTAAGAAAATAATATAATTTAATATGCAACTACAGTACAGTCTTCCAATCTATTCCAGTTCTTCAACACTTTTTGAAAATAATAATGACTTGCATATAAAACTGGATTACTTATACAAGACTGCTTTCAAATAAGAGTATCAAAGGCAAATAATAGCCAAAATGGATAGTGTATATATGTGAGTTTCTAATCCTCTTCCCTCTAAGTTCATGTAGGTATAAAAATTTCCATATTGAAAAAGTTTTACATAGTAAGATTATCTACATATGTTAAATGTAAGGACAGTAAAATTCAAGAATAGCCAGTAACTGGAGGTTCTATTATCTATCACTTAAGAAAAAGATCAAGATTCACCAATGTTTGGATTTCTTCTAGAACTTGAATAATTCACCAATCTTTATTTTCTTTTAAAAATCATATAGGAGAAAGAGTATAAGACTAGATAAATTATTTGTTTAGAAATAATAACATCAACTTTGCTACCAAATGACATGAGCAAATGAGAGGAGGAGAAGAGACACAGCTATGGATTGAGGCAAGGAGTAAACGTGATATCTGAGCATTCTTTTCCCACTTCAGGGAGGTCCTGGGCTAAGCGGCAGGAAGGAAACATACAGCCGCATCTTCACAATACTAGTTTCCTGCACATCAGGCAAAGGCCCATACTTAACCAAAATAACAAAACCCCAAGCCCTGAAAAACCTATAAGCCAGTTACCCAAAATTCTCTTTGCATTCAACATTAAAATCCAACATAAATACATTTACTATGTAAGGAACTAAGCACTTACATAATAATGGCTCATTGTGTACACATCATTTTCCAGGTGACATTGTCCATCATTTGGTAAAACAATACCCCCAAGTTTCCCATCTCCTGCAAAGTGAAACCCAGCATCCGTGGAAAACACCAGCAGCCGCGTAACATTCCTCCAGCCAATCAGTGACTTGAAAATAAAAAATTTCAATTTTAAAGCACTATTCAAAATAATTCCACATAAATCTTATTTTCATACAGGCTACCTTTGTCCTTTTAACCTAATTCTGCATCTTCTCTTTACACAATGCTAACAATCTTGCTGGCAAACGCACAGAAACCACTGAATGGAGTCCCCATGCCACTCTACAACGAATCTTGACTGGCTTGACTAATCTTGTCCATATCGCTCAGCTCTTAAAAACTGTTTTTTAGTTTTGCTCCTCCTATCTCCAGCAGTTAGCACACTGCTTGGCAAATAGTAGGTGCCTGAATATCTGCTGAGTAAACAAAAGTGTCTCAGCCTATCCTGACTTCACCTTCCTGCTGCTGTCTTGTCCCCATTCACCCTTCCATCCATCCTTGTTCTGTCTTCCATACCTTACACCTCCTTTATCAGATCTCCATATTAGACTTCCTTTCTTTATTATATAAAAAAATTAATTATCTTATCCAAGGACTTGCCCTGTTCAATCCCACCCATTCTAGCTTATCAATCTGTACTGCTTATCTGTTCACTAATTTATTTTGTTTTCATCCTTTTCCAACTAAGGACAGCAGTAAAATTCTATCTGCATAATTTTATAGTGATATCTATCTAAATTTACTTAATATATTTATATTCTCATAAGACTATAAATTCCTTGAGGGCAGGAATTAAGTTTATTTAATACTGGCAATCTTGCACGAGTGCAATATCTGTCCCTTTTGCATCTACATAAGTGAATCAGCATGACAAACACAAAAAGACAGCCACAAGCAAGAGTGCTATGGTATGTCTGATCTCATGAGTTAAGGCCTGGTTGGAGGCAGCACAGATAATGCTCTTCCCGCAGCAGCAACCTGCTAACAGGACCACAAATAAATGGCTAGAAAGAAAACAGGTGTCAGTCTTGGTATTACCTGGAATACCACTTTCTTTGGCTGTAAAAGCAGAGACTCACCTGAAAATGCAACCACTCTAGTGAGAAGTCAAAAGTAACAACAATATAGTTGTTAATATCTGCTAAATGCTTACTTTATATGGATGACTGCATTTAGGTTTCACAAGAGCCCTATGAGGTATATACTATTATTATCCCTTATTAAAGAGAAGGAAACAGCCCCAGGAAACTTAATTGCCCAGGATCAGTGGTGACAGAAAACTCTTAACTACTATGCCATATTGCTTCACTTATTATTTTGGTATCAGTTAGCACCTTAGAAAAAGTTGGGTGAAAAATAATCATTAAGAGGCCTCTGGAATCAAAGAAAATCTTCTAGGGAATAGGATACTGTATGGGACAAAAATGAGACAAGAGTAGGTAGTTAAAACAAACGACCTCATGATGCTTTCTAGGTTCAGTCTCGGCTATATTGCTAAAATGTCACCTCAAGATATTCAGCAGCCATAAAATGCTAATCACTGGTACAACAGAGATGAGCTTGCTACTACTGAAAATCTTGCAATTAAAATTGAAATATTGTATTACTTCTCAAAATACACATTTTCATACAGCTTACAAACTAAGGCTTAAAAAGTTGTTTCTTTTTGGATTGCTAAAACACAGGAGAAAGACATGTCTTTTAAAGATGAGCAAAGAAAACTGACGAAATAAAAAGACGAGACACTATTCCTTGGGACACTTTCAAGGTCCTGGTGATGCCTCAGATAACATCAATTCCATCTTGGGTACAAAGCCAGAAAATTAGGATACCTGGGCCTCTTCTAAAGACCCAGATCACCAGCTGAAGACAAGGTAAGCTGCCCCACTGTTTCAAATGGTTAGCACTCTGCCTTCTAAAAGTCTATATGAATGAACTGTCTGGTTTAAATGGAACATGATGATAAAATATGCTTTTATAAAGCCCTTGTAGTTGGAGGGAATTTAAAGGATTAACATCTGTACTTTACTGAGATAATCAAATGATAGGGAATTTAAGATCATTTCTTTTCTATTAATTGACAGTAAAATCATACTTAAATTCACACAAATAATAATAATAATATAAACTATATCCCTTTACAGGAAATGAATGCACTTACTCCACAAACTGCAACTTGCATAATTGCATCAAAACCACCTTCTGGAGAATCCAAATTTCCAGATATGCGTTGTTTACCAACAAGTTCGTTAAATACTTCTCCTTTATCAGTAAGACTGAGCACATTTTTATAGCTAAATGGGCTGGTGCAGTTCTGTTCACTTGTGCAAGGGTTCTTGAGCTTAGCTGGCGTTGTACTAATATAGGGCATCACAGTCTTTTCCACAAATGAGCCAAATCCTGTGAAGAAAAAAACACACATGGATGGATGGATGGATAGATAGAAAGACAGACAGATAGAGAGACATAGAGATAGACAGACTTGCATTTTTAGAAAACTCATGTTACTTATCACACATAAATTACCATGGCCTCAATTCTGTGTCACCCTGAAATTCATGTGCTGAAAACCGAATGTTCAATGCGATGGCAATAGAAAGTAGGGCCTTTGGGAGGTGATTAGATCATAAGAGTGGAGCCCTCATGAATGGGATTAGTGACCTTATGGAAGAGGCCCAGGGAGCTTGCTTTCCACCTTCCACCGTGTGAGAACACAGCAAGAAGGCACCACATACGGACCCAAAAGAGGACCCTCACCAGACACAAAATCTGCCTTACCTTATACTTCTGAGCCTCTGGAACTGAAAGAAACAAATTTCTGTTGTTTATAAGCTACCCAGTTTAGGATATTTTGTTAGAGTAGCCCAAAGGGACTAAGACATCAGTCAATCTTTTTCTTTCGTTTACTCAACTTTAAGAGTAACTCACATTCATTTTCTTAGCACACCAGCTGTCAATAATGGTATGTTGAATAAAAAATAAATGAATATTCTGCAATTCTGATTACTTCTAAAAAGTCTAACTTTGTAAGAGCTTCCTATCTCCATGATCCTCAAATTATGCCTCCTGAATAAAAAATCATTTTAAACAAATGCTATTTTTTATATGACCACTGAAACTGAGCTAACTTTTTTTTTTGAAAGGCAGCTTTCAAACCTCCACAAGACTGTCAAGCCTTTTCAATATTCTGTTGTCAAAGCTCTGGGTAGAGAGAAGCAAGCAAAGGAGAAGTTAAGTTGGAGATGCATCAAAATTTTTCGGAAAGGAGATAACTGTAATATGAAAATCCAGGTCTGAGGTGAGGTTAGGCTGTACAGGGAGATATGGTCACACTGATTTGTAATAAAGTTGAATGTTTACAAAATAAATTAACAGACAAATGGATAAATTTCCGTGAAAACAAATATGCATTTCATTATTATTTCATTATCTACAAAGTATAATCAGTCAAATGGCGTAGTAGCACACAGTGACAGAAGAACGAGGACGCAGAAAGATGAATAAACATTAGTTTCCTCTCAGAAAGAAAAGGGTGAAACTGGCCTACTTACTTCATAAGTATGCAGTAAAGAAGAAAACAAAAACATAAATGGGCTTTGAGATCTGCCAAGACTTACACAAATGAAAATCATTAATTTTCCCAACATCCCTACCAATTCTAAAGTCTGAAGTAATCCTCCTCATTTCATTCATCAGATCTGTTCCGAGACTTTTCACATTCTCCAAGTCATCCTTCATAGAGTAGGATAGATCCATAAGGTAGTAGAGATCGATGGGGTAGTCCTCAGCTCTCTTGAATTTTAATGTAAACGCCTGTGGTTCCCCTAAGTAGACAGAGATGAGAAAAGGAAATTTGTTTGCTGGCAATCACAAATAAACAAGAAAACCAAATAAGTCTTACTTAAATGCTATAAACACTATAAAATGAAAAGTACTATCAAAATTTTTACAAAAACCTGAAAATTCTGTAAGTAACTCAATGAGTATATATTCAATTTCATTCAACAAATACTTAAAACTTCAGTCCTTGGAGATGCAAAAATGAAAAAGATAACATCCCCAATCCACAGTGTGCAAATCAGACAAAATGTCTTTATAACTATCAGAGAGGAAAACAACACCAAAAAAAGTCTAGGGAGGGTAAGGCGGAGTACATGGAAGGTAGGGCACAAGTGATTTTTATGCTATAAAGTTGTGAGAACGCTGTTGTGTGTATAAATGAGATGCCACTATATGCAAGTGAGTAGTATAATCTTTTACTTAGAAAAACTTTAGAAAACCTGGTGAAAAGTTTTAAAAAATGAATTCTAGAGACAAGAGACTAATTAAGAAGTAACGGAAAAACTGAGGAAAAACTGAGGAAGATGAAGAATACTTGAACTGAAACAAGAAAGGAGAAGAAGAGAGAGAGACGAGATTGAGTGATTCACTTAGGAAAGACAGGAGAATGAGAAGTTTTGGATTAAAAAAAATCACTAAATTTTAACTTGTAGATTTTTTCTATGTAGCTTGCTAGCAGGCAGCTAGAGAAAATAGGTTTGGAGCTCTATACAAAAGTTTGTGTTGTGGTTTTAAAGTCATGAGAGAAAAACCAACATTTAGGTAGACTGCAGAGAGGGAAGAACATAAAAGGACACAAAGAATCTGGAAAGCAATGGTAAGAGATAAGAAGAAGGATGAGGAGTGACAACATGGACGCCAACAGGAAAGCGGCTCAAGAAATGCAGTGACACTTGGTACCAAATGTTTTTTTAAAAGGCCCTGACAAGAACCACTGGGTCTGTGGTTGAAGGTGATGGCAGAACATTAGGGCAGGGGGAGGAGAGGCCTGATCGATCCACTGCAGAGTAGACAAGAGGGGACAAGGTCATTCTCTCACCATTCTTCTGAGAGAAAAGATTGGAAATGAGAACAGGAAGAAAGAAGCCTTGTTTTTCTTAGATTTAAGACCAACACATATACTTATGAAAACCTTATCTTAACAATGCTAAACAAATGCAAAGGAAAAGAACAACTTGAAATGTTGCTTTTATATTACATAATTATACCAGTGGACAAACACTTATTTTTAAAACTCATTAAATCTAATTAATATATTTTGAATCTTTAATAAAATTTACTTTAAACATTAGGCCACTTAGGCCGGGCGTGGTGGCTCATGCCTATAATCCCAGTGCTCTGGGAGGCCGAGGTAAGAGGACTGCCTGAGCCCATGGCTTCAAAACCAGTCAGGGCAACTTGGTGAGATCTCATCTCTCCAATAAATCAAAAAATTAGCAAGCGTAGTGGCACATGCCTGTAGTTCTAGCTACTTGAAAGGTTGAGGCAGAAGGACTGCCTGAGCCCAGCATGAGCATGCCACTGCACTCCAGCCTGGACAACAGAAGGAGACTGACACACACACACACACACACACACACAATCAGGTCAAAATACATATTATTCCAAGTATATATGTGTCTTATGAATGGTTATATTTGCCAAAAAAAAAAGTCTAAAATTTAAACTATTCCTTTTTTTTTTTTTTAAGTGGCAGTCCTCATGTGAAAATGAGAAACTGGTAAGAGGCTTGCATAAAGCTTGTGTCAAAAACTTCAAGTAGAAAGGAAGGTACTCAGATGTGAATTTCAGTACCTGATCGCAACTGCAAAACCAACTGCTGAGGTTGGATCTGGGTAATGTCTTCTGGCTGGAGCTTCTCTGCTGTTCCTTTGCTACGGTTGGTTACATTTTTATTTTTCTTTATATCTTTGGAGCCTCTGGGATTTTCTATATCATCTGAGTGGCAACCCTTCTTTTTTAAGGCTTCTAAATCATCACATCGTGCAGAAGTAGGCATTCCTTCTTGCAAAAATGTCTAAGTGACATATAAAATACAGGTATGAAAAAAATGTAATGATCAAATTCTTTTACATAATAATTGCAAATACTCAAACTGCAAAAAAAATCAAATGACATATAATGTGCCACATTTATAACTTTTTATTATTTTTTAAATTTTATTTTAAGGATGTGGGGTATAATTCAGAATCAGATACACAAATGGTTATTGTATAGGTTAAGTTTGGGCCTCACTTTGGTTTCCACTTTGGTTTGAGATCAGGTATCCTTATTGATGACGTGTGTCCCCCACCCCCCAGCAGTTTCCACTCCCAATTTCTTTTTTATAGTATTATGATAAATGTTCAGGGTCCGCTTATGAGTGAGAACATGTGGAACTCAGTTCTTTGTTTCTGTGATAGATCACTGAGTATGGCAGCCTCTAAATCCATCCAAGTTGCTACAAAGTTCATAATTTTGTCCTCCTTTATGATTGTATAATATTCCATTGTGCTCTTGCTTAAAAACAAAATCATTTCCAAGAAAGTAATACCTTTCCCAGGACTGACCTAAGTGTACATATTAAATGGACCACCTTCAAATTCAGAGTATTCAATCAAAAGAAATTTCTTCAGTGAAATCATTTATTCGGTATGGTTAACAGTTACTAATAATGTATACAGATACCCAAATTTCAGACAATATTTTTTCCCAAAATTTCCCTTGGAAAAATCCTTACAAACACTCTCCCATCACTATATGCTGAACACCCCAATATTTAGGGAAAACAGATTAGCTTAAAAACATCTAAATTAATGATGGAATTTTTAAAAAGAACAACAAGCCTAAGTAACACATCAAGACCCTGTCTCTACCAAAAAATCAAAATATTAGCTGGGCATGGTGGTGTGTGCCTGTAGGCTCGGCTACTCAGGAGGCTGAGGGGGAAGGATCACCTAAGCCCAGGAGGTCGAGCCTGCAGTGAGTCATGGCAACAGAGTGAGATGCCCAAATAAATTAAAAAATAAATAGGAGACCAAGAAATTTAGCAGATAAGACAAGTATTCCTGAAGGTTTGAAAAAATTTCAAGTAGCAGCTATTATTGTAAGCAAGCTTTTTAAAATGGTAAGTAATTACATGACAAGGATCACAAGTATATTTCATAAGATAAATTTTTACAAATGGACATCTAGGCATGGTGGCTCCCATAATCCCAGCTACTTAGGAGGCTGACACAGAAGGATAACTTGAGTTAGGAATCTGAGGTCGCAGTGAACTACGTTGTGCCACTATACTACAGCCTGGACAACAGATCCACACCCCATCTCTTTAAAATAAAAAAAAGTCCTAATGATATGTGAATGGATATTTGGCATGGGGTAAAGTTTCCAGTAATGAAATAAATTCAAAACATGCTACATCTCAAACAACTTTAAAAAAATAAAAATCACATCAGATCATGGAAAAGTACCTTAGTGAAGACAAAAGTACTGCTGCAAAGAAGTATGTAAAGATTCTCAATAAAATTATTTCATGAAATGTTAAAGTGGGGAGAAAAAAGTGACAGTATATATGATATTTGTTTATTATATGTCAATTTCATGGTGCTATATAAAATAAGAAAAGTTAAAGAACACACAGTGGTTTTTATAAATTATTTATTTATTTGAGTTGGAGTCTATGTTGCCCAGGCTGGAGAGCAGTGGCACACTTACGGCCACTCCAGAGTCGACCTGCTGGGCTTAGGCGATCCTTCCATCTCAGTTTTCCAAGTAGCCAGAACTACAGGCATGTGCTACCACACCCAGCTAGTTTTTGATTTATTGTAGAAACGAGATCTTGCCCAGTTGCCCAGACTGGTCTCAAACCCACGAACTCAGGCAATCCACTCACCTCGGCCTCCCAAAGTGCTGGGATTACAGGCTGAGCCACTGAGCCTGGCCGATAAATTATTTTTTAAGAGAAATGTAAAACTAATAAGAGCTTTTATATAATTACAGTAACAACTGGAAGGGAATACCAAGATCTGATGATTCAAAGCTGTACTAGTTTATTATCAAACCTAAAACACTACTAAAGTACAAGATCCCACTGAATTATACATTTCCAATTATTAGCCAATCCAGAAAACTTATAAGATCATAACACACAAATAAAATTTCACTAAATATTCTGAAATAGCTTTTAGTAATTTAAGAATTATGCCCCAAAACTGAAAGCCTGAATTATTTAAAGAATAGTTTGGCTAAAATAATCCTCAACTACAGATAGACCCATCAAATGGATGTTGTTAATAATAACAGCAGCTACCACTTATTTAGAACTTTATTTAGACTCATCAATTCTAATACTTGTAAAAACAGATAAAGCAGGCATTATCAACCTCATTTTCCATATAAGAAAACCCAGAGCTTTGGTTAAGTAAGCCTTGCCTAATACAAACTCACATCACTCCTATTTCTTCCACTGTTTCCAACTTAATCCCAGCATACCACTTTTAAGAGAACAGAAAGTGCCATTAGAAAAACTTGGAAATGAAAAAACAGACTTCTCATTTTTTCTTCCATATGGTCAAACCATATGACTTATCTGATAATTGAGCAGTTATTATTATATCTACAAAAACAGGCACTTGAAATTTGGATTCAAAAGCCTGAGCAAAAACATAATCAGTAAACCTTTGACCTCCTGATATTATTCATCCTGAGAATAAATTGTATGACCTCAAAATGACCCCTCCTGACCTCTTGCCAACTTATTCATTCTTATGTACTCACTAACATTGAGTAAGTTTTGTAGATGGCAATGTACAAAGATGACAAAAGGGAATAAAATTCAAATCCTATCCAAAACAGGTTTATACTGGGATGCAAATCAATTCTACAATAGTTTAGCTTAATTAGGAAGGTTAACGTCCTTAATCAGGAGATTAACTGCCTCCATCAAAAAAGAGGAATCGGGCTCGGTGGCTCAGCCTCTAATCCCGCGCCTTGGGAGGCTGAGGTGAGTGGACTGCCTGAGCCTGCGGGTTTGAGACCCGCCTGGGCAACTTGGCGAGACCTCATCTCTACAATAAATCAAAAATCAGCCGGGCGTGGTAGCATGCGCCTTTAATTCCGGCTACTCGGAAGGCTGAGGCGGAAGGATCGCCGGAGCCCAGCAGGTCAAGGCTGCGGTGGCCGGGAGCGGCCACTGCACTCCAGTCTGGGTGACAAAGTGAGACTCCAACTCAAAAAAAAAAGGGGAAAAATCTGTAACAGTCAAACTCATTTGCTAGTTTTTTTGGAAAAGCTATCCAATAAAAAGTATGGTATGTGCTACAAAAATGAGCTACACGTATATATGTATTTTTAAATTGTCTAGTAGCCACACTAAAGGAAAAAAGAAACAGGAAATTAATTTTAACACTTATAGTCTATCATAATATAAACATGCATTTTAATATAAACAATGCATTATGATTTCAACATTATTAATGGTTTCTTTAATAGTAAGTCTTTGAAATCTGGTTCATGTACTTATTTGAGACTTAGAGCCATTTTCAGTATGTACCATCCATTCTTCAAGTGCTCAATAGCCACATGTGTTAGAGGCTACTGTGTAGAACAGCACAGCTGCAGGTCATTACGATTATTCAATAAACATTGATTTATGTGAAAATTCATACCTAGTACATTCTAAGGATCCAGCACTGAGCAACACTTAATGACTAGTGAATAAATGGAGAGCACTTGAGCAATCATACTTACTGAGTTTGTGCACCACCCACAATTTGGTCCTGCTTGTATACATTCACCGCATGATTTAGCATTTGCTTTTAAACATCTATTTTCATCTGTCAGGAAAAAGAAAGAATATTTTACATGAAGTTTCTGAGAGAAAATAATAAAAAATCAGGATTACAATGACAAATAATCATTGTCCATAAATGTTAACTATGAATGCTATCACCTAGTTACCAATTGATCTAGACCCGCCCCAAGGAGATCACGATTGAGGACCACTCCATCCCTGAAAGCCATAGAAGGACAGAGTTACCTTTCTTACCTTCTAGACCAAAAACTAGATCTTTTTTCCCAAAGGCATAATTTCAGAAGCTGTCATTATGGATGGTCATAAAAGTCATGCATTTTCTCATAACTGGGTAAAACACCATACTTTTTCATTTGACTCACACCACCACCATACCTACACTCACAGCTTTGTTTCCATTTTAGTATGTTAAATAATTGAAAAGTCCAGATGCATCTGTTCCACAATCCCATGATTTTTCAGACTCTGTGTTCAAAGTATGTCTTACATTTCTTTGAAACCGCCTATGGACAAACATGCCTTTTACATGGTACATACTAATTAGGACTGTCTTCACTGTATCTTTTCTGATTATAAACCTAACATATGCTCATCACAAAAAATTTAGAAAACAAAAAAGCATAAAGAACTAAAAATCACTCATAATCCACGAACTAAGAAATTTTCATATACCTCTTTTTGGACTTTTTTTCTATGCAGATAAACAGCAAGGAAGTCATATTACTTAAATGAAATTGAGAACATATGGCTGGGCACAGTGGCTCATGACTAATCCTAGCAATTTGAGAGGCCTTAAACTCTTTCTTGGGCCCAAGAGTTTAAGACCAGCCTGGGCAACATAGCAAAACTTTGTCTCAAAAACCAAAACAAAAAACAAAAAAAAGAAATTAAGCCAGGCATGGTGGTGTATGCCTGCAGTCCCATCTATTCAGGAGGCTGAGGTGGAAAGATGGAAAGACTGCTGAGCCCAGGAGATCCAAGGCTGTGGTGAGCACACATCTGATTGTTTCTTATAACAAATTCCAAAAAATACAAGCAACTACTGAGCCGAAGAGTATATTACTGTTTCTAAAATTCTCAGTACACACTAATTTCTATCCAGAGTAATATACAGCTAGCCCTCCATATTCATGGTATGTGCATTAGTGGATTCAACCAACTTCAAATCAAAAATATTCAGGAATAAAAAGTCGGTACTGAACATGTACAGCCTCTCTGTCATCATTTCTTAAACAATATAATGTAACAACTACTTACATAGACTTTATATTACATAAGGCATCATAAGTAATCTAGAGATGATTTAAAGTACACAGGAGAATGTGTGCAGGTTACATGTAGATAATATGCCATTTTATATCAGAGACTTGAGAATCTGTGAATTTGAGTATCTAAAGGAGGTCCCATAACTAATCCCCACAGATACCATGGGACAACTGCACTAATTTATGTTCCCACAAGTAGTGTACAAATACCATTTCACCACACCTCCAATATTAAGTACTTTAATAATAAAAAAATTTACTCATTAACAAGTATGAATTAGATTGTCAATTCAGTGGTCAGTTACTTAAGGTCTTGCATTTTTTTCATATTTTTACTACCATTTTTTATAATTTTTTTTATTTTTTGGCCATTTTTTCTGTTGCCATATTCCTTAGTTTTTAATGGATAACTGTACACAATAACAAAGTTAAACTTTTGCTTAGATTCTCATCTTGTTTATGGTATTCTGACATATAGATACTTTGGGGGTTTTTTGGTTGTTAATTGTTGATTTGTAACTCAAATTCATCAGTACTTTCTTTTTTGGTTTCTTGATTCATTTTTAAATATAGTAAGTCCTTCCCATTCTGAGCTCAAATAATTATAATTGTTTTATGCAGTATGTGTGTTTTTTTTGTTTTTTGTTTTTTTATATTTGGAGAACAGAACAGGATATCAATTATTCTAGATGTGGATGCACTATGGTTTATAGAAGGGTTAAATATATTTTCAGCTTTATTTTCACTGCTTTCCTAGACGATGCCAATGTTTTTCAGGACTTTTTGACCAAAGAACATGAACATCTTCTATAAAGTCAAGTGTTCCTGTTTTCACTTTTTAGATAGCAACAGTTTATAATCCACCATTTTACCCATGTACTTTGTTTCTAGATGTACTACAAGTCTTTGCCCTCTTTCTTCTCACTTAAACGCTCTTTCACTCTCTTAAAAGATCTTCCCGTAGTCTATTCAATCCCTTTAAAATCACCAGCCAACCTGCCCATCATCACATTGGGTGGCAGGGGCGGGAAGAGCTTGAGCAGGAGGGACTTTGCCCTTTTCTCCAGGTGAAACGGACACTGCAGGGCTTTCAGCAGCAGCAGCAGGAACTGACTTAGGTTTCCCAGAATCTAACTGGCCAAAGAGTGATAAAAGATACTGAAATGAAAAAACAACTAGAAAATTTTTTTTGGCTTTACCTGTTTGGCCGAACACATAGCAAATTGAACTTATCAGTCCAATCCAGAAAATCAGTTGTAAATTCATCTGAAACATAAGATGTGCATCATTACATTAAGAAAATAATAAACAAAAAGAAAATGCATTAATGAGAAATGTTCCACCCACCTCCCCTTCTGTCAATTTTGTAAACGTGACGGTCTCTCAAATGGCTTCTCCCCAGTCCCTCACCCACCTCTCCTCCCTAGCTAGTTACCTCACTTTTCACCTACACAATAAAAAACTTCCATACCAGATCCACAGAATCCACTGATGCCTTTCCCTAAATCAAATCAAGTATATTTTAACATTTAATTAATGGTACTCAAAAAAGAATCAGTGTCAGTGTATTCCTTAATACCCTAAAAGCTATCAACAGTCTCTGTCCCATGGAATCTCTATCTCTATTATCTCCTGTGGCTCCCAGGGACCCAAACAGGAACATCCAGAGGCCTCATTTACCTCAGTATTGAAGGTCAGCTTGAGTGAACTTTACAAAACCCTGATTAAGTCATCCTCCTACTGACAACTCTTCAATAGTTTTTATTTCTCCTCAGGTTAGGAGCAGCATACTGAACAAGGCCCAACTCAATTTTTGAGTTTGATCTCCTGTCACTATTTCTCTCTTCAAAGAAATCAACTTCATTTCATGGAATCAGGAAAATATTCAGTTTAATTTCCTACATTTTCCAGATCTACAAACTAGATTTTAAAAAAGGCATAAGAAACTACAAAAAGTCTTTATTGCCTTCCAGAATTGCTAAACAAAAAATTAAGTAATATTCTATTAAATAGACTAATCCAACCTCCAACCATCTGGTATATAACTATGTTTTCTGAATCAATGCTGTGATATTAATCTATACCAGATTTAGTCAAATATGGCTAGAGCCACAGGTTGCTGACTTTATACCTTAAATGCTCTTGAACTAGTAGCCAGTCTAGTAATTATACATTAATATCCACCCCTCCCACAAGAAGAAATACCCCCAAAAAGCAAATGCCATGATAAAAAATTTCTACCCTCTAATTTAGTAATCCAGCTACTGTAAATTCACCATAAGGAAATAAATATATAAAAGATGATACATGTGCACACATGTTTGGTATAGTACTCCAGTATATTACTAGAGCAAAAATGCAAACATCCTATATCCAATAACAGGGAAATCTAACTATCAACTTCATGAACTATTAGATAGTCATAAAAATAGTAAAACGCAGCAATATTACAAGATTTATAGAATAACTTTGGATGCAAAGTACACATTAAGTGGTAAAGAATCTGACTTTCCCAAGGCAGCAGAGGGAAAAAAATAATAAAATAAAATCTGTGTTTATTCATTTGGGAAAAAAAGGTGAGAGGAACATGAAAATAACAGTACATAAACATACAAAGTAACCCAAGAGGCCTGAAGATAAAAAGTTATAAGCATAATATAAACAATAGGAATTATTTGTTTTTAAAATTGTTATAGTCTTCTTTTCACCTTCTTTGCGTTAGAGTCTCACTCTGTCGCCCAGACTGGAGTGCAGTAGCTGCTCCCGGACACTGCAGCCTCGACCTGCTGGGCTCCAGCAATCCTTCTGCCTCAGCCTTCCAAGTAGCAGGAACTACAGGCGCATGCTACCCGGCTAATTTTTGATTTATTGTAGGGATGAGGTCTCGCCAAGTTGCCCAGGCGGGTCTTGAACCCACTGGCTCAGGCAATCCACTCACCTCGGCCTCCCAAAGCGCTGGGATTACAGGCTGAGCCACTGAGCCCAGTTCACCTTCTTAATAAAAACAATTACAGCAGTTTTACTCAGTAGAATTTTGTAAATTTCCCTTAACACGAAAAAAGTTCACTGAATTCCCTATTAACTGAAATTTTCTTTTAAAGACCTCCACCTCCCGGGCTTGCATTCCAGGATGTTGCTCCCCTCACTCAGACAGCGCTTTGAACTTGTGCTCAGAGCACCCCTAGGACAACTTCATCTCTGCTCAATGCTGCTTCCCAGAGAAGAGACCAGAATAAGCTACAGAGGCATATACTTTGCAACCGTGCTCAGTTCAGCAAGTTGGGTTGCTTACAGTTTCACTTATTTATCACTTGGAACTGCATCCAAGAGACCTGCAGAAGCTGAGTGTCACAGAAGCATGGAATGCCTAACAATTCACATTTTAAGGTCTGAATGTATAATAAATCCATGTGGACTGTAATTTAAAGCAAGACAAATAATCTTATCAATTCTGAAGCTATGACTAAAAAAGACCTGGCACATGAAGACCCCGGAGAAAATGCATCACTGTAATGGATGAGTCATCTGGGCAGTTTCCACACAAAGTGAACAGAACACATATCTGTCCTATATATGGACTAGACATGCTCCTTCAGAATACTACCCAGGCTACTTTCATGACCAACTAGACTGCCTTGAAAAATCTTGCAAAATATTGTATACTTCAGAGAATCACCACTAAGATAAAGGTAACAGAAAATGTCTTTAAAATACTACTTTAAATGTCGCTGTCTTTTTCCTTCTATAAACCTTGACAAGTCAAAGATCAACCTTCCAAAACCCTCATGCCTCTGGAAGAACTCCAAACCCAGAAGCAGACAAACAAGCCTTTAGTGTTGAAGGGCAGCTGAGAGAAGGACACCAGCTGGACACAGTTGAAGGACAGATGTCCACTCTCCTGTGACTGGCAGGACCTGACAAGAAACAGAGAGGCACTGTCACTGGCTGGTGATTTCTGTAAAGGCCAAGCTTTCTCTCAGAGAAAAGAAGTGACAGAAGATGACAGCAATTAAAAATACACTCCAGTCTGGGCAACAGAGTGAGACTCTAACTCAAAGAAAAAAAAAAAAAAAGAATACAGAAGAGCTATGAGGACTGAGGCTTAGACGAGAGCACAATTGGAAGTGGCCCTGCGGGAAGAAGGCCCAGAGAGCTGGGTAGGAAAGAGGCAGCAGAGAAGATTCACAGGTTCCCCACTCAGTCCTGATGGTGTTCTGACCATATACCCCTTTGCACATGTGTGGGGAAGTGGGAGAAACATGCACCAAGTATTCTGTATTTCCAAACCTCTCAGGACAATACTTCTCAAACAGGTTCACCTGCATGCCCACCCCAGGCCTAAAACCCCAATCTGTGAGTGGGGGGCCTGTACTCCAGAGATTCTATTGTTGAGAAAAGGTACCCTAAGGAGTTTCCCACCAGTGGAACTCTCTATATAAAACAAATTATGAGGGAATAGCAGGGAAGATGCCTAAATCTTGTTCATAGTCAGAGGTCTAGAAATAATTGTCGACACTGGTGTCCCTTTATTTACTACGTACTTTCTCTCTCCTCAACTTAGTACAGCCACATGTCATTTAATGAAGGGAGCAGTTCTGCATCCTTAGGCGATTTCAACATTGTGTGAACATCCTAGAAGCACTTAAACCTAGATGGCATAGCCTACTAGACACCTAGACTGCATGATATGGCCTATTGCTCCTAGAATACAAAACCTGTGTAGCATGTTACTATACTGAATACTGTAGGGAAACGTAACACAGTGGTGAGAGCTGTGTATCTAAACATAGAAAGGGTACAGTAAAAATATGCTATAAAAGATTTCAAACAGTGCACCTGTGTAGGGCACTCAACACGAATGGAACTTACAGGACTGGACATTGCTCTGGATAAGTCAGGGAGTGAGTAGTGAGTGAATGTGAGGGTCTAGGACCTCACACCACTGTAGACTTTATAAACACTGTAAACTTAGGAAACACTAAATTTATTTTAAAACGATTTCTTTGTTCAATAAAAATTAACCTTAGCTTACTGTGACTTTTTTTGCTTTCTAAACTTTTTAACTTTGTAACTTTTGACTCTTTTTTAATAACAGCTTAAAACATGAGCACAATGTACAGCTGTAGGGAAATATTTTCTTACTCTATATCCTTATTATACAAGTTTTTTCTATAATTTTTTGTTTATGTTTTAAACTTTTTTGTTAAAAACTAAGACACAGACACAATACATTAGCCTAGGCCTGTGAAGAGTCAGGATCATTGACATTATTGTTAAGATCACTGTCTTCCCCTCCACATCTGTCCCACCAGAAGGCTTTCAGGGGCAATAACATGCATGGAGCTGTCATTTCCTGTGACAACAATGCCTTCTTCTGGAACACCTCCTGAAGAACCTGTCTGAGGTTATTTTACAGTTAACTTTGTTCTTTTTTATAAGTAGGAGTATACTCACAAATAACAATAAAAATATAGTAAATATATAAACCAGTAACTCAATCATTTAATATTCTTATCAAGTATTACATACTGTACATTTATGTGTTATACTTTTATGCAACCGCAAGTTCAGTACATTTGCTTATACCAGCATCATCACAAACACGTAACACACTGCACTACAATGTTATGACATCACTAAGCAATTGGAAATTTTTCAGCTCCATTATAATCCTTGTAGGACCCCCCTGTCATTTATATGGCCCATCGTTGACCAAAATTTCATTATGTGGCACATGACTGTGTAACTGGTGTCAACTCCTCACCAGAAATGAGAAACTGCTCTTGCAAAGAACTCTTCCTAGGCCTTATTTTACACTCTGCATTCATTCATTCATTCCAAAATGTCTTTACCGACTACAATATGAACTTGAATAAATACAGCAGTTTACTACCAAAGAATTTCCAAAGCAACATTCAATACTAGTCACCATTCCTTCTCTACACGCTCTATTCCCTTGGACTCTGCTGGATTCCCCACCTTTTTGGAGGTTCTTCCTCAGGTTTTATGCCATGTCTGGAAATACGAAGGTCACTTCAGTTCAGTCCAAAGACAAAAATACAAATAACTAATGCAATGGTTTCCATAGATACCGAAATCTGCCTGGAAAGTTCAGAGGCTCCATGGACATGGCAGCGTTTCAGTTAGAGTTGAAGACGTGTAAGAGAGGGGTAGGCAGACAAGTGGAGAGAAGACATTTCAGGCAAAAGGCTTACACATGCAGAGCCATGGAGTCCTGAGAAGAACTGTAACAACTTTTTCCTAATC